TGGACCTCAATGTAACCTCCTGACAAGGCAGTCAAATTCATGATACAAACATGGCTTCCCGGCTCCAGACAACATGACAATAAAGTTATCACATCCATAAAATTAGAAGATAGCTAAGAAGCCATCTGAAGAGATAAGCAGTTTTAACCATTCTATATCGTTAACCTCATGAATTCTTTAGCAATTTTCACTTTAATGAAAATTTTAATTACAGGTTATTAAGGAGCTCTGGTAGCGTAGTGGTTACAAATCGGGCTGCGAACCTTAAGGTCAGCAGTTCGAAACTACCAGCTGCTCCGCGGGAGAAAGATGAGGCTTTCTACTCCCGTAAGGATTTACACCCTCGGAAACCCTGTACAGGGTCGCTATGGGTCGGAACCGACTCGAAGGCACTTAACAACAACAACAACAATTAACATTACTTTTAGAAGCTATTTGAATATTTAACTTTTAAATATCCTTCCACTGATTATATGGAAATGCTTCAGGGGAAACCCACTAAATCAGATGCACTACTATATGTCACTTAACACACATATAAGTATACATGTCTTATATAAATATATTCTAGTATGTTCCAAAATGTACTGCAGTTTTACTAAGAATGTATGGCATAATTACTAAAAATACTAATTTCTTAGCAACAGAACTATTGGATCCTGTCCCCTATACCTGGTCTTATATTTTTCCTGATCCTCAAATTTGTAGTTAAGCATCTTGCTATGAAAAGGTATGTATGAATTGTTTGGTTTAATTGCTAGTTTGAGCTGAAACTAGCAAGATTGGTTTGCCACCAACATAATGTAAATTAGATAATGTACTTTTTTGAGTCTTTTTTTTTTTGTGCATATTAGATCAATATTATAAACTGTTACTAATTAACAATTAGAATGCATGTAAAATGTTTTGTCTACAGTCACAGAAAATTAATCATTAATAAGACAAAAGCTTTAAAAAGAACTTTGAAATAAGTTACAGTTCGTTTTATTTCATAAAAGGCCTCAACATAGACTTAATACTTAGGTCAGGGTCTTTTAAGAAAGAATCCCTACCTTGAAATCTTGTAAAATACTGACAATGATATGGATAAGTTGTTAAAGCAAATTATGAGTAGCCATTTCTCAAAATACTGTGCATAGGATGTATCAGAATTCAGATTTAAGGAAGAAGTTACCAGATTAATGAGAAAATAAGGAAGAATACTCTTGAACATGGTCATTTTAATTTTTCAAAATTACTTTCATGTATTTTGGTAATGGTATAATTTACTTTCTTTTTAAAAAAGCTTCATTCTGAAAATGGATACATTTATAATGGGAAGATAGCAAGATCCTTTTCCTCAAGAAAAGGCAAAGTTAACAAAAAAATATTAGAAATCAGTCTTACATGAATGATTGGGTGTTAACACTTGTTTCTCCAACTGGATTTCTGTACCACATAGCATGACTTTCTTAATGGGTTGAAAGAGGAATCGTGCAGTTAATTAGATAGAAGCATTTCCTCAACCTAAGCTGTGGGCACTGCTTGGATTTTGGGGTTATTTTAGGGCCCAAAGAGCAGTACATGAAATGAAACTGTAAGTTATGTTTAGAATGTAGTCATTGTTTCTTCTTTCTTCAAAGTCTATATCTCCTAAATCATGGTTAGGCAAAACATCCAGAAATGTTTGTTGTATTTATTACGTTTAAGAAATAAACTTCATTTGGTATTCAATTGACTTTCTAACTTAGCAGACAGGACTTTACATCTTCAAATAGTGAAAATAAATTGCATTCTTGGCCCTTGCTTTAAAAGGCGATACAGAATAAATGCACACCCTGGTAGTGTTCTAGTGATCTCCCTAATCTCAGTTGCACTTTGTCAGAACGAGGTAACTGGTAGTTAAGTGAAATACCCTAGATCAAAGGGGGATTAATCACCAACTGAATCCTTGCTGAATAAACCTGTCATTCAAGAAAATTATTTCCACTGAACTTAGCAGAGGATTGAAGGTATTTGCATAACAGGGACCAACGTACTTCAGCCAGGTTAAAAGGTTCAGAATTCATCCCATGTTTAGCTTTTTGCCTCCTTTTCCTTTCAGCGGTCGGGTACAATGGATTCTAATCTGATAATACAGCTAACTATCTAAATGATGTCAGAACAGGAAAGTATTGCAAAGTTTGGATGAGGGATGGATCAATTTCACTTTCAGTAACTCCTAAATCTGATTTGTTGGAATTTAAGATGTAATCCTAAAAAAGTCCCTTAAACCTGAGGACTGTTTATTAACATCCCTTTTTTGACCTTTGTCTTAGAAACAACCATTGTGCTGTGGCGGCAGTCCCTGCAGAAGTTCTTGATGATTCTGCCTACCTGTCTGCCTCCCAAGGGTACTGCAGGAGTGTATGAATGTCTATAATAACAAAACACAGAGTAAAAACACTTAGAGCTGCTACTATGTATACCTGCATTTGAAAGACATTAATTAAATCATGTACAAGGTATACAACCCATAATAATAATTTAACCAACTGAAAATGCTAAATAGAGGAGACATCAAAAGTGATGTTTAACTGAAAAAAAAATAAGATTATTTTATGGGATGAACTAATGTTTAATCAAAGAACATTTTTAAACTAATAAATTACCTAAGAATTTTTGACAAGGTTATTTACTTTACACTTGGCATTCAAACCAATTATCTAAAAAGTGAAACATGCCTACCAGTGTAAGGGTGTTGCCCACTACTATACTGCTTGCTTTAAATAGCTGAAAACATACTGGTTAGTAAAAAATGAAGATGTCTTTTAAGAGTTATATCAGAATCCTGAGCCATCTTTTCTTGAGTTCATTTTCAGAATTAATTTAACGCTTTTTTTTTTTACCTTTTGGGTTTACTGGAGAATAACCACCCACAGGATAGACATCAGGTTTTATAATCATATTTGGCACTATAAAGAATTTAGATAGAATAGGTCTGACACCATCCAATCTTTCACTGGTTGTAGTTGCTTAGACTCACTGCAAATGCAGAGCATCTTCTGCAATTTAAAAACTGCAAAGAATAGTTATCAAAGAAAATGAATAAAATCCATAGTGAGATAATTTTTTAGAAAATGATTGAAGTTTTCACCCAAGAAAGGACTCTTAGAGTGTCTTACAGCTTAGAATAAGAACATGTCAATCACGATTAAGCTTCTGGAATCGGAATCCCTTTGAAATGCAGCTGTTTCTTCTTTAATTGTGGCAGCGGACTCTGAAGAAAAGGAAGGTCCAGCCTTAAAGATGAGTAAGGAATACAAAATAGCTCAGGATTAGTTGTAGAGTTCAAAGGTCGCTAATTACACTAAGGAGTTCCCAGACACAGGGAAAACATTAAACTGGTCACCTACCAAACGGGAAACAGACTTTGTCTTCAGAAATGATCCTGAAGTGACAGGTTTCTAGACAAAATCAAAAGCACCACAGCGTGCTCAGCTGATCTCCATGGGATGAAAACATGAGTTGGTTTTAGTTCTGTAGCATTCGTTATGTTAGGATGGAATGGCAACAGATGGCAGCAGGTTCTCCACTGCCCCTACACGTTTCCAATACTCCCTAGTTTTCCTCTCGTTTCTAGAAAGGTCAAAGATGCACTGTTTTGGAAGACTGCTTATAAAGAAAGTTTTGCTCAGTGGATTATTATGTCGAATCTTTGCCTACTCAAAGATAAATGCCTCTTGAATAGCTTAGTGTACTTTGCTAAACATTTATACAATTTCAGAGGGTGGTTGGTGGGTTTGAACCACTGACCATGCAGTTAGTAGTTCAGTGCTTTTCCTACAGAGCCACAACAGAACTCCAAGGTCTTCCTTTAGGAGACTTATTAAAAAAAATAGAAACCAAAATATAGCTGAATTATTAATTCAGTCATATATAATGTTATTTTAAAAGTAATGCTTCTAATTCTGTTCTGTAAAAAGAACATGGCCATGAATGACGTTTTCAGGATGTTCAGAGTTCATTTTTCTAAATGATCACATAGTGTCCATGAGCCTAACAGTGAACTGCTGTGAACAGAATGTGACATGACTGAAAGGTAAGTAGAGGACAAAGAGTATGACTTCTTGGTCTCTGAAGAACTCAGCAAATACCGATTCAGAAAGTAAGAGTGACAGACTTAACGAAAACATGTTACAGGGGACAAAAAAGTAGAAAGTACTCTACAGAAAGAATTCTGACATGAATGCATTCACTAATGAATTTTTAATAGAATAGAACAAGGAAAAGTAATATTATATCTAAATTTTCCTTTGAAATTTGGCTGCAGCCAACAAGTGATCACAAAATGCGAAGTTCAACTTCTAAAAGGTATTCTTACCACCTCTTAATATGCTGGCTGACATCCTAAATCAAATGTTATTACTGGAGATTAACAATACTTAAAAAAAATTAAGTCTAGAATAACAATAGATACCTTGAATAGAATTATGTAGATTCTTTATTAATCAGTAGGACAATTCTGATTGAGAAAGAGAGGCTAACAGTTAAACAATTTATATTTGTCTCTAATGTGGTGTTCTGTAACAACATACCATCCTAGGAGCTTAGGGTTTATGGTTCCTTAGCAAATAGTTTTAGCTTGCATAACATTTATAGTTCATTGCTAGTGGCTGCTAAAAATTCTGCACTGAGAAGGAGCCTGAGCCCTTATTCAGGAAGGCTCAGTGGGGACAACAGGGCTGTGTTTGATTAGTGATGTCTGCCAGGAAGGAACACGGGTGTCAGGACGATCCAGGACTCCTCTCTAATCAGCCTAAGTTAAATCATTATTGTTTTCCTCTCTGAATAATATTCAGGTAAAATAAAAAGGTAGTAAAACTGGAGGTATCAATCTTTAAAATGTTCTTTTAAGCAAATATCTAACAATAATTAAACAAGACAATTTTTTAGAATTAAACCATTCAATGATTTTCACTCACACTGGTTAGAAATATATACATTAAAATAAAAGATGATTTCATTTATACAATTCTAACATTACATAAATCTCATTTAAACATGAGAAAATTATAGTACTAATGATCCATAAGCTACTGGAGCAGGGGCTTTAGAATTCCATACGTAATAGTCAGAAGAAATTAGTTTCCGATCTAAAAAGAAAAGAAACAAAATTCATGGTAAGACTACTTTATCTTAAAAATTAAATGAGATTGCAAAGTCATGGCTTTTTCGACATCGTGGAAATCTTTCCAAAGCAGTACTTTGAAATACTAATTTGAATTCGACTTAATAAGACATTATTACACATTTTACTATGTGAAATAATATGGAAACATTAAATATTTGAATATATGAGTTTATAGGAAAGAGAAAACTAACTGCATGTTTCCTTCATTTATGCTAAACCTGTCAGTTTTTACCTAAAATTTCCCTAAATTCTGCTTCTTATGGACACCTGCAAACACATTTAAAATGTTTTTACTGGTTTCCCTGCCATAGTCTCTTCACCACAGTCCTGATCCTGGCCTTGCTATTCTATTTCCCATTCAAAGGGTCAGAGAGAAATAATCAGCCAACTACTTCCAGCAACCTTCTTAAACGATTATGTCACTTAATATAGTTCCTATCACATTTAAGCTTTATGTTTTAATGCCTTAGTAAATCTGGACAAATGGCAATCTCTTTGAGCTTCAGTTTTCTGATATGTAAAATGGATAATAATGCTCATCTGGAGCTGCTGCTGTGTGCTGTAGAGTTGGTTCTGACTCACGGCGACCCTGCATAGGTTTTCCAAGGCTATAGAAGCTTATGGAAGCAGGAAGCCTCATCTTTCTCCCATGGGGCAGCTGGTGGATTCGAACTGCTGACCTTGTGATTAGAAGTCCAATGTGTAACCCACTAACTACCCAGGCTATTTCATTTGGAGCTAGGTATGTGTAAATTGTTTTTGTTGTTAAGTGCTGTGGAGTTGGTTCTGACTCATAGTGACTCTTAGTAGGGTTTCTGAGGAATGGCTGGTTGAACCACTGATTTTGCAGTTAGCAGTCCAGTGCTTATCTTACAGTGCCACACCATGACTCCATAAATTACTTATGTATATCACTAAATACCTGATTCATACCCTACTTCATAATGAAAAGAATATAGGATCTATCATCTTATTTATATACTTATTGGTGGAGTCCTAGTGCAGAGCTGTAGGATAAGCATTGGACACCTACCGACCATTCCATGGAAACCCTACACAAGGTTGCTATGAGTCAGAACTGATTTGACGGCACTTAGTAAGGCAAGCCTTAGTTCAAGAAATACTTATCTAGATCCAGCGGGCCTGGAGGAAGGTAAAATCTCCAGTGAGTGGTATTCAATCTGACTAGGTGGGGCTGATGCAATGAAATGCAGACAGGTCTCTTGTGATACAATAGTGAATAATTGTTATCAGGACTGATTGTGAGGGCCGGAAATGTAAAGGTAGTCCTTTTATAGCAAAGAGGGGAGGGATTAACTTTGCAGTCTAGGAGCGGAGGTCCCTAGGACCATCAAGGGAGAAGAGCAGAGAGCAGGACCCTACCCAGAGAAGCAGTGATGCCTGAAATGGAGCCAGAGACGATGACGTGGAGTGATGGAGCAGCTGGAGACTTTAGATCCAGAGAGGGAGAGCGACTGTGTGCTGAAGACCTGGGGGTACTGGGGAAGGATTACATGGAGGGGATTGTAACCATGGCAGTGAGACGATATACGATAGAATGAATGTAAAACTAATGTTCTCCCATGTAAACTATCACATAATTCACAATAAAACATTTAAGAAAAAGAAAAAAAGAAATACTTATCTAAATATGGAGTCCTGGTGTGGCACTGCAGGTTGAGGAGTGGACTGCAAGCTCAATTTGAACAAGGTTAGTGGTTCAAACTCACCAGCTGCTCCTCAGAAACCCTATGCAGGGTCACTATGAGTTAGAACCGACTTGATGGCACTTAACAACAACATCTAAATATAGTATTTTATTCTCCTTGATGCATAAGGTAAAAAGGTTACTGTTTAAGAGACGTTTCACTAACTCTATGTCATTCTAATAGTTTCCTACTTTATATCACTTTAGTATGTATTTGAGCTGACATAAACAATTTTAAATTTGTTTGTAATTATTTTTTGTCCCATGATATTTTCATATATAGTATATGTTTTACAACCAAGGTTGGCAGTTCAAACCTACGCAGTGACTCTGAGTCTGGAAGAAAGGCCTGGTGAAATGCTTCTGCAAAGACTCTGGCCATGTGGAGCAGTTCTACTCGAATACATGGGATGGGTCACCCTGAGCCGGGGGCTGACTAGGGGGCAGCTAACAACTCCTGGTACAGCAGAGAAGGTGCTAAATAACTGTTTCTTGACAACATTACTAAAAATATTTGAAAATTTAAAATAATATCTAACATTTATTGAATTTCTACTATATGCTAAATGCTGTTGTTGTGAAGTGCCTTGAGTCGGTTTGACTCACTGTGACCCTGTAGAGGGTTTCCAAGGAGTGGTTCGTGGGTTTGAACCACTAACCTACTAGCCTGACACAAACTTAATTGAAATCTCATAATCATGTGGGAACTAATACTATTATTTCTATTTTACAGATGAGGAAACTATTCACTAACTTGCCCAAAGTCACACAGCTAATGTAACCAAAGCCCCTCCGAACACCTCTAAATAAGACGGTATTTATTATGACCAGAGCAAAGCACATCCAACCTTGTAAGTAAAGCCCACTTTGCTCATCCAGACCATTTTAAGACATGAGATGGCCGAGAACAATATAAAGTACATAAACTTTTATGCAGGTATGGGATTAGACCAGAAATTTTACATACTGGGATTACTCTCTGATCTCAAAATTCTATTACATAAGCACTCAACCACAAGGTTGGATTGAACTACAAGGTCAGCGGTTCAAACTCACCAGCTGCTCCTCAGAAACCCTACACAGGGTCACTATGACTCAGAACCGACTCAAAAGCACTTAACAACAACAACAAACAATAACTGCATTGTTGTTAAGTATAATAACTACATAACACCATTTAATTCCCTCATGTTAGCAGGAATCTGTGAAAGTACAACTTACTTGTACTTATTTTTGGTTTTCCGGATGCAAAAACTTGAACAGAATGCTGATCCGCATAACACCCAGTGAGTGTGTAATCTATGATCTTAAAATGAAGCTGGAAAAGAGAGAATATATCAAATTGAGATGATTAGTTGGTAAAAATTATGGTTATATTATTTCCCCTTGACGTAATTTTGGGGAATTTACCCTTAAAAATCCATGAAAGTCACAGATTAAAAAAACAAAACAAAAACAGTGTGTGTAGATAAATACTGTTAATGTTGTTGTTGTTGTTAAGAACCTAAGTACCGTGGAGTCAGTGCCGACTCACAGTGACCCTGCACAGGGTTTCTGAGCCTGCAAATCTTTATGGAAGCAGAAAGCCTCATCTTTCTCCCATGAAATAGTTGGTAGTTTTGACATGCCGACCTTGAGGTTAGCAGCCCGATTTGTGACCACTATACTACCAGACCGAGCTCCTTATAGGGTCATTTCTTTCTAAGGGTGCCTTGTTTTGTTATTAAGTGCCATCCAGTCAGTTCCGACTCATTGTGACCCTAAATAGGGTTTCCCAGGAGCAGTTGGTGGGTTTGAACTGTCAGCCTTGTAGTTTGCAGTTCCATGCTGATCCTACAATGCCACGCCAGGAGTCCTTAGCATTCAATTAATATGAACTCTGATCCAGACTGCACGGTAGGAACTGTTAGGTGCCACTGCAGTTTCAACACATAGCGACCCTATATATAATGGAACAGAATGGCCAACTTAACCAACAAGAGAACAAAGATTTAGAGACAGAAGCAATTAGTACTTGAGCATGTAAGCAGCAGAGCTGACCTCTGAACTCAGACCTGATGACTACAGTGTTCCTTTCCTATACTGTCTGTTATGCTCTATAGTCTCTTCTGTATCTAGGACTCTGTTGTGGTGATATAGTCACAGAATGCAATTACTAACATAGAAACACTAGATTACTTGGTGTTTGAGGGAATGAGGTGCTCTACTCAATTTTCCAGAAAACAAAAATTTAACTTTCATAGAAGTAAATTTAGATATGGCCATATTTTTATGCAAGTCAGGCATGCAGTATACTTTTTGTGCACACTGGGCACCACCATGCACTCATTTCCTATGTGGTACTATGCACATTATACGCACACACATTATTTACATGGGAGAAGCGTTATATGCAAAAAAAAAAGAGAATAAGCTACTACCTGTTCCTGCAGCCATGAAACCTTTCTAAAATTTAGTCTGTAATTCCCTGATTTAATTGATAGTGTGACGCTGTGGGTTAATGTGCCAGACTGCAAAGCCATTTGAACTGCAAGATCGGCGGTTCAAGCTCACCAGCTGCTCCTCGGAAACCCTATACAGGGTCACTATGGATCAGAACCGACTCAACAACACTCACAACAACAACAACATCAGGCCATCACTATAGAGACCATTTATATTTTACTGTAACAGAGTGGACCATTAGTCCTTTTTCTGAAGGCATAAAGCTGAATGATTCTGAGAGACAGCAGTTACGTGAACCATGAAACATCTGTTTTACAGAGCTCCAGTCTTTTTGCCGTGTTCTCTTCATCTCTACTGTTTACTTTCTGATGCTGAATGCTCCTGAGTTTTCAGCAGGACCAGGCAGTGGTGCTTTCTGTTGTACAGAGGGTCACTGTCAGTTGGAACTGAGTCGAGAGCTCCTGACATCTTTTCTACCTTTTTCCCCTTCTGTCTTCTTTCTCTGCAAATTTCTCCAATTTTCTATCTTTCTCCTTTGGAGTGCAAAACGAATCACACACATATGTTGCAATTTTCAAGTCTTCTCAGCCATTTTTTCTTATTGCAACTCAAATTATCGCTGACAGTAAAGGCTTGGTTTGCTTGTTTCCTTGATTTCCGTGTAATTAGATGTAAGAGAGCTGGTGAACATAGGTGAGAAGAAATGAGCAACACGGTGTCCTCTACTACTACCATTCATAATGCTTTTAAATGCAGGGATCAGTCTTTCTTCTTTGATTTATATAGTATCATCCTATTTAGGTTTTCCTATTGCCTTTCTGATCATTCCTACAATTCACCTTACTGGTTTATATGAAATATCCTCTTATTTTATCTTTTTCTGATCTTACTAATTTGCACTGCCACAACAATTTCTTCTCTGTGAAGTACTTCAAAGCCCTTATGTCCAGTTGAACTCTAAGTTAAGAATCAAGCTTTAGGTCTTCAGCTGTCTAATGGAAACTTAGATTTGAGTATGTTGTGATCACCAGAACTTTAGATAATATTGAGTAGCCAATTCCCTGTCAACTTTCTCCAGATCACTACTGTACTTTTCTTATTATTCCTAGTAAAGTGAGGGTTGGTGAAAAAGAGGAAGACACCCTGAACAAGGTGGTATGACACAGTGGCAGTTCAAGTGTAGCAATGATTGTGGGGATGGCGAAGGATCACGCAGTGTTTAATTTCTTGTGCACTGGGGCTCTAGAAGTCTAGAACAGCATCTAACAACAACATAAGTGTATTCATTCATTCATTCAATAAATGTTTAGGAGCTACATGTGGACTAGATGTTGGGAACAAAACAATGAATAAGAGTCACACGGAGTCCCTGCACTCTTGGAACTGCAAAACGGGTGTAAGTTACATGTATCATCAAATAACAGCATCTTCATTTATAGCAATTTCTTGTCTCTGCATTTAATTAGTGACCAAAACTTCACACCTACATCCCAGGTTTTACAGCAGTGTCTTCCTTTTTCTCTCTTTCCTCCCTTCGCTTCTCTTCCTGCTGACACGGCACTAGCTCAGCTTCAGTAACTTAACTTTCATCTGGAATACTGACATAATTATAAAATCATTTTCTCGTTTCTAATTTTTCAGTTCCCCTTCATTTCAGACTGATCTTCATAAAGTATCAGTTGTGAACTACTCCCCTACTTAAAAAAAAAGCATAATATTTTCTGTTAAAGTAATCGACAATCTAGCCCTGAATGACTTCTCTTGCCTTGTGTGTTATTTCGCTTTCTAGCACTGGTCTCTGAGCATGCCATGTTTATCCTTCTTTACTCCTTTAAGTAATTTCTCTACCTATCCAAATGCCTATTTAAGCCTCAAAGTTTTGTTGAAACTTCATCCTCGTAACAAAGCTTTCCTTGAACACTTTGGCTGGCTGGAAGTGCTCAGTTCTTTCCTTGAAACATCAGAAACAACACTGATCAGTTATGATTTGTTGTTGTTAAGTGCCTGTGGAGTCGGTTCTGACTCATAGCGACGTCATATAGGGTTTCCTAGGGTCAACTGGTGAATTGGAACTCTGACCTTGCAATTAAGTGCTTAACCTCCAGCGCCACACCAGGACTCTGTTAGTTATGATATGCATCATTCATTATAAACAGGGCAAGGACTACATCTTCCACTTTTTTGTATAGAAAATTTGACTATGATAATAAAGAGTTAAGAAAAACCAGGTTAATTTGGGATATTTGTTGTTGTTGTTAAGTGTCATCGAGTCAATTCCGACCCATAGTGACCCTATTATATAGGGTTTCCAAGGAGTAGCTGGTAAGCTTGAGCCACCGACCTTGCAGTTCCAACAACTTCGCAGTCTAACCCACAGCGCCACACCATATTTAGGTTATACTTAACTAATTAACCGTAATTTTTCTAGTATTTGTTGTTGTTGTTAAGTGTTGTCAGGTTGGTTCCGACCCATAGTGGCCCTATATAGGGTTTCCGAACAGCAACTAGTGAACTTGAACTGCTGACCTTGTAGTTCAAACGGCTTTGCAGTATAGCACATTAGCACCACACCAGGATTCCTTTCTAAGTGTTAGGGGAATACAAAATGATTACTACTAAACAAAGTGAATCTCATAGAAATCTAAACAGAAAGAATGAAAAATAATTGTTGGAAAGCATTAGAAATCAACTCTTTAATGTACAATTTAAAAACAAACGTTTTTATATATTTATATATTTTCACCACAATTTTGCAAAAAAGGTCAAGTTTCTGATGCAGTGAGCCATTTACCTTTACATATGCTGTACTACCAATACAAATCTGGTCAAATGACTGCTTTTCATGCTTTTTTGTCCCAAACGTTATATTTCCAGAAAGAGTAATTTCCATTGATTTTGGAAACTTTTGGCCTAAAAAATACAAATATACCAATCAACTATTCTAAATTACGTAGATTTTAAAGCAGATGAAAGGGGAAAAAAAAAAGTCAATAAACCAAACGTAACTCACCAATAGTCCAGATCAGTAAGTTTTTCTCTCGAAATATTTCAAGCTGGCCAAAACTTATTTTGTATTCCACATGTGTGATTGGACCTCTTTAAAAAAAAAACAAAAAAAACAAAACACAACAAAAACGGACAGAACAGAATGAAAACCTGATCACAAACATATGAACTTTAAGATGTGTAAGTCAAATCTGGCTATTGTTATTTAATGCAACAGCAGCGTAAAAGCAAGTCTGCAGAATGAAGTTAAAAAACACCAGAAACCACTGAAAATGACATACATTTCCTTATTAAGTAGAAAGACAACTATAAAATCATATGGAATGTGTTGACAGGTAAAATTAAACTATGATTTTACGAAATGTTTAGGTATAGTTCTTTTTAAAAGAACTATGTTGCAGAGTACATTTAAAAGTAGAAATGATGACGTGATCTTATGATCCAATTGGCTTAATTCACCAGGTGGTTGATAGTGAGGCTTGAGACACATGTAGAAAGTAATTACCCTAAATTAAACCAGTAGTGAAATACTCCCTGAGGAAACAAAAATGACTTTGGTTCATCATTTACTAGCAAACTTAACTAGAAAAATGAAGAGGCAATTAAAGATAAAGAGATTATTCTAAGATTACGTGGTTCAGGATCAGCATTCACTTGCGTGAAAAAATTATTTAAATATTAAAAATAAGGTCAAAACCAATGATGAATCATTTCATTGTGGGGCATTGTGAGTGTACTAAGGAAGGTAGAAATCATGCTATTTTATTCCTCCTACCTATTATAAAAAGGAATACGAGCTTCACAGAATTCAAAATTATTTTTCACACTTTCATGAAGTTTTAAATTGACTGTTATTTTTAGTTGTGTTTCTTCCTCCTGAATTCGATAAAACCCCAAAATTGGTGGGACAGGGACCTGGAAACAAACATAAAAACAAATCTTTACATACTTCTCAGATTAATGGGTCTACACTACTAATGGTGATTGAGAAGAAAGCCTTGCAGTGATCTCTACTTGTTCTATCTCTAAGCAAAACTCTTATCTGTCACCAGTGACAAGAAAGGTACCTTACAAAGGTGAACAGTACATTCTTTTTCCTACTCTTGCTAGTCCATGTTCCCCTCCTTCAGGTTCTCTATGACCTGCAACATAGAACATGCAGTAGGCATACTGATCGTTACTGCCCTGCCCAGGAATCCTGCTGCCTCATTTGTGTTCTTTGCCTCAATTGTGCCTCATTGTTTCCCCGTTAGCTCAGCAGTTGTTTACTTGATTGGTTATCAGTACCTTATTGAAGGGAAAGCAATACATGGGCTGGAGTGACCCAATCTGTTCCTTTCTGGAACATCTGAAGTAAGACACAAGATTCTAGAGTGGGAATGTCATGTGCAAGCAAAAAAAAAAAAAAACATCTGAAGAAGAGACTGAGAAGCAGAGATCAGACAGACACTGTGAACCTTGAGTATAGAGTGATTTTCATTTTTATTTTCTAGTTCTAGTCCCATTACAAGGAGCATTGGTAGCATAGTGGTTACGAATGAGGCTGCTAACCTCAAGTTTGGCTGTTCTGCGGGAGAAAGATGGGGCTTTCTGCTCCTGTAAAGATTTACAGCCTTGGAAACGCTGTGCAGGGTCACTATGAGTCGGAATTGACTCCATGGTACTTATCAACAACAACAGTCTCTTTATAGCTAGACTCTACCTCTTTTCTTATCCTTAACTGAACAATGCAATTCCTATTTCATTCACAAACTAAATCCCCTTTACTTAAGGTAGCTTGAGTACTGATTCACAACAAGGGCAGCAAAGAAATGGTACAGTAAAAAAGTTAGGCTCTGGAATCTGGAAATTTGGGTTCAAATCCAGGCTCTGGCACTTAACATTTATTCAGTAAACAACTATTAATTACGTATTTTTAAGTATGAGTTGGAACCGACTCAATAGCCTTTAACAATAACAAAAATCTGGGATTATAGATATTTTATGCTCATGGTTCAAATTATGATTAACTAATAAAAGAATGTTCCATCTGGCGAGGTCCATGTGTATAGT